TGTTCATTTCAGATGCCCATTTTTGGATTGGGTCTTTAAATTTGGGAGGTCTGATTTTTTTAAGTTCTTTATAGATTCTAGATAGTAGACTTTTGTCTGAGGAACAGCAGGTGAAAATTTTTTCCCACATTGTGGGTTGTCTCTTCACTCTGTGGTTTCTCTTGCTATGCAGAAGCTTTTTAGTAAGAAGAGATCCCACTTATTAATTGTTTGTGCTAGTTCACAGGCAACTGAGGTTTTATTCATAAAATCTTTTCCTACACCAATAAAATGGAGTACTACTCAGCCATTGAAAATGAAAAATTAGAGACATTTATAGCTAAATGGATACACATTGAGGCCATACTCTTAAGTGAAATAAATAGGACACACATATGTAAACACCAAATAGTTTCTCTAGTGTGAGAAACTGAAAAATGTAAACAAGGATTAAAAGGTATAATGGATAATGTGAAATAGGAAGAAAAGGGGCAAAGGGGAAAGGGAAGTGGGGGGGTAGGGGAAAGGAAAGAAGGGAATGGAATTAATATGAGAAAATGAAAAAATGGAAGCAAAGTCTTTGTAAATGAGGAGGGATGGAGGGGTTGAAAGGAGGGCAGGAGAAGGGAGAAAAATAAGAACCAAGAGAGATTATGTAAAGGTGCAATTTCCAATGATGAATGTCATTATATTGTATACCTAAAATGTACCAATAAAATAAAACTTTTTAAAAAACAAACTTCTAGCCAGGCATGGTGGCACATGCCTGCAGTCCCAGCCCTCAGGAGGCTGAGGCAGGAGGATCTCATGAGTTTGAGTCCAGCCGGGGCTCCATAGTGAGTTCAAGGACAGCTTGAACTACGTATATTTTTTTTTCTGTCTCAGAAAACAAAGGGGGGGCTTCTTTTTTACTTTTTTGTTTGTTTGTTTTTGTTTTTGTTTTTTTTTGACACAGGGTCTCACTATATAGTTTGAGTGTCCTTGAATTCACTAGGTAGCCTACGATGGCCTTGAACCTGCAGTGATCCTGCAGTCTTGGCCTTCTGAGTGCTAGAATTACAAGTGTGCACTACCACAACTAGTTCTTTTTGTGGCTTTAGAGACAATCTCACCTAGGCTGGCCTTGAACTCTCAGTCCTGCTTCAGACTGCTAGAATGCTGGGATTACAGCTGTGGCTCTGTTGCATTTGTCTGTTTCTTTTGTTTTGTGTTTTGAGACTAGGTCTCAGTATGTAGTCTAGACTGGCCTTGAACTTATCATGTAGTTGAGGCTGGCCTCAAATTTGTGGCAACCCTCTTGCCTCAGCCTCCTGAATGCTGAGATTACAGATGTAGGCTAGCATGTCCAGCTTCCATTGTACTTGTCTTATACAATCCCTTCTCCTTGACTGCGGTGAGGACCTGAGAATGTGATGGAATATCACTCCTTTCATTATCCCAGAAAGAATTTTGCTGATATATCTAAAACCCCTGACCAGTTGGTTTTGAGTTAATCAAAGGGGAGATTATTCTGGGTAAGTCTGAGCTCCTCAGGTGACTCCTTCAAAAGGGGAACTGGAATTCTTTCCAAGTCAGAGAGAATCCACCGCTGGCCTTGAGGAGGTAAGTGGCCATGCTGTGAGAGGGACCACGGAAGGGACTATGGAACAGGGACCAGAGGGCAGCCTCTAGCTGACAGCTAGCAAGACAACAGGGACCTCGATCTTCCTTCCATGTGCAGGAAACTAAATTCTACCAAGAACCACAGGAGCCCGGAGAGTGGAGAGGACCCCTGCTCCAGGAACAGATGCAGCACAGCAGGCAGATATGGGACTCTGAGCAAGGGCTCCGGTTAAACGACACCTGGACCCTGACACATGGAAGCTCTAAGATAATTAAGTAAGCATCATGTTAAGCTGCCAAATCCATGGTAATTTGTTATGTAGCAATAGAAAACTTATGACCCCTCCCCAAGAATGAAGGCTCCTCTGGTGTCCAAGGTATTCTGCACTCGCCAACATCCTAGCCTCTCCACACAATGTCATACCAAGGCCCTGCACATCTGTCACCTGCCTGCTGGCACTGCAGCCCAGGACCCCCCCTTCTCTGCCCCTGGCCCTGAGTATCTGGGTGCTAGGAGGTAGGAAGTAAGATTTGTCTGTGGAATTGATATTGTGGAAACCCCAAATTTGCTTCTGTCTTCACTCACTGAGTAGTTTAAATGGAAGTCATCTTTTTGGCTCTTTTTATCTAATCCTGAGAATTAAACCCAGGGCCTTGCACATGTTGGGCAAGTCTCTACCCCTGAGCTACACCCTCAGTCAATTTAATCACCAGCACAGCATGTTCCATAATGGCCCCTACTGCAAGGTATTGTTCAGATCTCCCTTCTGGTATTAGGCTATAACAGTTCCTCTTAAATGTTCTGGGAATATCAGATCCTTCACACATCTTCAAAATTGCCTAGAATAGTACTAATCCTTAATTGTCTGTGGACAGCTGTCATGTTTGTGCTTACTGATCCCGGCCTTAATTCTTGGCAAATTGTGATGGCTCTTAGAGGCCTCTAGCATGTTGCCCAAAGCAACCTGAGCATATCTGCTGGACTATTAGCCAGCAGCCTCTGTATCAGTTTCATTGCTGTGTGTTGTTCCCTCGAAGACCATGGCATTGGTCACTACGTGTGTCCTGACTTAGGGTTCAGAAATGCAGTCACTACAGAAAAATGGTACCCTAGAAACAGGAAACAGGTCTATGAGGTTAATTTGCCTAATTCTTATCCCATCTCCTGTACATGCATGCATACAAGGATACAAACATTTGCACAAACACACACACACACACGCCCCTGCTTTATTGGCTCCACTGATCTTATACAATAACGTGCAACAGGGAACAGAATTTTATATTTCTCTCTCTATAAAAAGATTTATGAGATAAAAGCTCCTGAATGGCCAGGCACGGTGGCACACACCTATAATTCCATCGCTCTTGGAGGCTGAGGCAGGAAGGTCTCAAGTTCCAACCCAGCCTGGGGAACTTAGCGACTTAGCAAGACCCTGTCTCAAAATAAAAAGTTGCTGGACATAGTGGTGAATACCTGTAATCCCAGCACTCGGGAGGCTGAGGCGAGATGATTGTCGTAAGTTTGAGAGTTTGCAGTCAGTTCAAAACTTTCCTGAACTACAAAGCAAGATCCTGTCTCAAAAAAAAAAAAAAAATCAAAATTTAAAAGGGGACGGAATGGGG